GTGAGATACTCCAAAACGGCAAAGAGCCAAGATGCACAACGGCAGGACTCCAGTGCAACTTTGGAACGCCGTAAGACTGTCCTCTCCTCGCCATTTAATTTCCACAACCACCGATGTATTAGTGTGTGAGCACCAAACAGGGAGGTGCCCGATGATTTCTGAGTTGCTTTGTGGCAAGTGCCCACAAACAAGGAGACCACAGCCGGAGAAACCGCCCAAATGTTAAGATTAACTTCCATTAAAGTTAACAAATTGGACTAGCATCCAGTAGATCTAATAAGGAAGCGCAGCATGACAGAGTTGCGGCACTGGGGATAAAGTGGAGGAGCCAGGCAACACCTCTGAGCAGGAATTGGTTTAAAGACATTGTGGAAGATGGACGGTAAGGTGGTAAATTCAAAAGTGAAAACTAAAGAATTCCGGCATCACAGCCCAAGAATGTCAGCAATGAACTTTGAGACCACATCCCAACACATGAGTCAAAGCCAGAATCTCATCCGGACCTAAAACAGGAGTGAAAGTGGGAAATAAAGCTGTGGAAAGAGGCCCTCTCTGACAGCCTAATGAGCATTCTACGCGTCTACGTCACGTGAAACATCCCGCAAATGGTCCTAAAAGTGTTACACGCAGGCCAAAAAAAGTCCTCAACACGGGGGTGAATTGGAGGAAAAAAAAACATCAAGGAAAAAAGAAGGGAGGAAGTTGCGGAGAGAGAGAAAGAGAGAGAAGGGAGGAAAACGTAGGTTGAAATGTGTTAGCGCATACCTCGGGCGGGTCACTGCGAGTACAGAAGATACATAAAACAAATCAGATCTGGAACGACCCGGGTTACTCAGAAGGGGGCCACAATGGAAACATATGGGCTTTTAGTCACATGTTACAGCACAGCCGCTGCTGTGAGAAAAGAAAAAACAAAAACAAAACAAGGAGCGGGCAGGATGACGTGGGCAACAAAAGCCAATAGTTAGAATGATCAAAGTTAATGCTTAGAATGTCCCCGGAGAGCACACGAATGAAGCAGAACAATTGGGAGCAAACAACAACGTCGATAAAGAGGTTTGCAATGCGGCAAAACAACTGGTGGAGCCGACTAGTCCAGTCCTGTCCCTTCTCTTCCTTCTTTCAAGCGCCCTCCCCTCTATCTCGTGCTTTTTTTTTTTTTTTTCCTGCGATCACAGGGAGTATGTTACAACAGCAGTAACAGCACATGACAAGGTGACCTGTGCCCCACACAGGATGGGCTAAACTGGGGTGGAAGCGGGTGGGTGGGGAAGTGGGGGGCTCAGCGTCCAACTCTATGGTCTCTCGCTCCCCTACCCAGGCCCCTGCTGCTGGCCAGCAAAAGGGAGAGAGAGAGGTAGCGACGGCGGGTCTGCCCCTTATGCTGGGCCCCTTGCTGGACTCGAGAGAGGAGGGAAAGGCAGGGAGAAGCCCACTCAAACACTCAAACACACAAACACACACACACACATCGAGAGTCCTGTTTACGTCTGTGCTGAATTTGACAGAAAATGCAGATTCTCAAGCACACGCGGTCATGCAAGGAGAGCTACCTGGACAGAAACTGGACGGGCAACAAACGTCCACTCGAGCGTATGTTATATAACCATTAAAAATGCTCCCTAAAAATTTCAATTATTTGGGAATGCAGTCCAAATGCGGTTGAACAGACATGAAATATTGAGGACAAGGAGGGGAAAAAAATAATTATAAAAGACGATTAGGGTGCTCTTGCCCATAGGGTTGCTCGATTCTGAAAAAAAACAACATGACTCTCAATTATTTTGGTAATAACGATAATCGTGATTATTGAATCAATTGTGTATTTTTGGGTACAAAACAAGAAAATGGTTCACCGTAAAAAAAAAAAAATTAAGACAAATCAAATTATATGAAACACTGATTATTTAAGTTCCCTTTGGACCATCCAACATTTATGAAATAAATTTCTTTTTTTTTTTTAAGGTACAAATGTATGAATTCAAGTATGGTTTCCTTGTATAAACCGACATTTGCATTGGAATTTACTTTCTATCCACTGAGAAATTGCCATCGACCCCCTGCAACCTTTGAATAAACAATTTCAATGGCTCTCTCAAGTGCAAAATGTGAACTCAAGTATGGTCGGTATAGTATTAGACGTGGTAAAATGAAAAATATTTTAACGTTATATATACAATTATGCCAACTTTGTAACTGTTGAGTATAATAATCGAAACCGGATTTCGATTAATCGCCCAGCTCTACTTCACCCATGTGACATTTTAATGTTTTGGGAGAAAAACAAAACAAAAAACTATTAGATTTTTGGAACATGAATGAATCAGCAAAATCCTTCCGTTTATTTGCATCTCAGTGGGTGGCCATTTTGCCACCTGCTGTCCACTGAGAATGACATCAAAGTAACTATAAGAGCCAGGTAACGCCCAACCACAGCTCACCTGTTTCTGGGTTTGGTCATGTGACGTTCGCAAGGAGCAAGCAGCAAAAAGGCCACCCTTGAGATGATAAAAACGGGTGAATTTTGCTACTTAACACGAGAACACCAGAGATGCTATTTTGAAGTTTTTGATGTGATATTACACCACGTTTATAAGTTCACAATGCTCCAGGCCTTTTGACTTTTCCTAATTCCGCTTACATTTCATTCCCATGGTGCAATTTGACAGTATTCAACAATGTAAAAATAGTCACGAGTCATTACTCCTTTCACTGCTGCACGTCCGTCAATTTGACGACTCTACTTATCTTTTTTTTTTTTGCGCTGGGACGGCGGCGCCGCCGCCGGGTTTCCATAGGACCCAGCGGCTGCATTGAAAAACACTGCTGGTCGCCATGATCTACAGGAAAAAAAAATCTTACGTAGAGGGAGCATTCCATCAGCTTCAAAATATTGACTAATCTGAGGATGAACTGCTCAGCTGACACACAACGTGTCCGCGTAAATAAAGTCCCCCCGCGCTGCCCAGATGAAAAGTTGCGTGCAGGAAAATAGTCATGGCATTGCGGGCAGTACACAGCAGGCAGTCGAAATCAATATGTGGTGTTTGGTCACATAATTTCCCCCACTGAAGAAAGAAAAAAAAAAGTTGCGGCGTGCGCTCTAGACAAGAGTAGTTTTAGGTGCCAATCTTTTGATTCTCTTCCTCTTTTTTGAAGTGAAGTGCATAAAATAATGTCTTTTGCGACACGCATCTCCTTTCCTTGGCCACCAAATTAACATATTTTATAAGAGCTGAACCGCTTGCAGCGTGAGAGCTGCACGGGACAATACGTGGCCCGCCAACTGTTTCTAGTTCATTTATATGACGTCATTTGCATTAAAAGATACGCAACAGAATTTTAATGCACAGAATACCGTTATTAGACTCTCGAGCAACGGGAAATAATCATTTTCACGGGATAAATTGAATAACAGAAATCTTATCATGGAAATATCAACCTGCATGACACTGTCCCAGCGGTCAACGTTTATCGAATTTGAAGATGTGCCGAACGCGCTCCCTTCCAAGAAGTACTCCTTTCTGCTTGAGTTGCTCTCCATCTCCAACAAACATAACCCGCGCGACGCGTTTGACCTAGAAACGCTCAGCCACAGGAGTTAACCGAGGACCTGCGCAGACATCCGAGAGAACTTCCCACTTCATTAGTTACAAAGGCATATGTGGCATGTACATACAAGTGGCTCTTAACGGCTCGGCACAACGGCGTCTTTCACTCTGTACGTTACACGTGAGGAGGAAGCCAGCAATTAATACGGTCACGAAAGGAGGGAAGGGGAGGGTATCTTCCTGTATGGGTACCTAATGGACTGTACCATCCCCACCACACACACACACACACACACACACACACCCACGCAGACAAATCTCCATAAACAACATGATGCAACTACATTTAATCAAGGAAATCCTTTGTGTAAGATCACATCCAAGGATTGCAAGTGGGTTGCCACTTGTGACAACGATGGAGGAAAAACACAAATGCGGCATCTGTACTTCCTTCCAAAACTAATACAGGTTTGTCATACAAATTCAATGCGGAACGTATGCCCGTGGTGATTGAGACAGCTTTATGGTTGGAAAGGGAGAAGCCGGTCATTAATTTTCCACACTCAGGAAATGGAGCAGCCAATATCAAAATAACATTTGTGCATGGTACAAACAGGTGCAGAATACGAAGAAACGCATGCAAATTGTCAGATATAAAGCATAATCAATGGAAGGGAGTCATAGGGACAATTAGTGCCTGATGTGGGGGAGGGAAAGGGGGGGGTGATAATAAATGTAGATTTTTTTTGTCGTGTCGCCATTTTGACAGGATAATAAAGTGGCTCGGTGCTCGGTGACTAAGTAAGCAAGATGCTTGTATGTATAAGCAAATTGAAAATATGAGCATTAAAATCAAAGCATGTGTACTCGTGCAAGGACATAAGGATTATGAATTGCTTTGAAAATTTACAAGGTCTCAAAGCAACTGAAGTAAAAGTGAGTGCAATATTCTCTTTTGTTAGGGCATGAAAACTGGTGTTCAGAACATACAGAAAGAGAAACTATTACAATAAACTATCAATCAGGTAATTGATGGCTTATCACCCCCCCCCCAACTGTCCATCGATGAAATGCAGTCAAACACCCATGCCTACTTGTGACGATTATGTATTAGTATATGAACACGGTATAGTACATCCATCAGCCACAACAGACAGCGTAATGATTGACCGTGGAGGGAATTGTTTAAAGAATTTAACAGCTATTTGCAAAACATACTTCAATATTTCTGCCCTTATAGTCAATTGCAAACACACTATTTATTCCAAATGTCCATTTTACTTGAAGGCTTATTCCCTATTAATATAAGAATGTAAATGTGACATTACATGACAGAAGTAATTTTACCTTCTGTTTTTTTTTTTTTTTTAACCAGAAGTGGGCATTTTCACAGCAGGGAAAACAAAATCAGTGAGCAGCTTTTGCTTATGTGTGATAGAAATGGCTCACCTGAGGATTTGGCATGCCCTTGAACACTGGCTGAGACTTGAAAGCTTTCCTCCGTTTATCCCAAGATGTTAATCCTGTCCAGTGGAAAAGCAAAAAGGCATGTGGCAAGTCAGTGAAGGGGGCCTTAACCCTCGGACCTGACCTACAATTGCAGTTTTACGTAACGGAGGAATAGTATCAACCCCAAACACAACACGCGCGGTGTTAATCATCACACCACCAACGCTGTCATCTGAAGTTGCGCAACGTTATGGATACATCGACAAGTTTATGAGACCCGACTGGCGTTGGAAATTAAGATTTCGTAAGGAAGAGTCATTTCAAAAAGTCACCATCTGGACTTTTGCACGTTCGCTCTTGTGCAATGCGAGTTTTCACACCTAAACAGCTGAACTCAACTTTTCCACTAATAAAGACCCGAGTTGCTTTTGGTCTTCACACGCCGTCTTCGTGCGCGTCCACTCCCACGCTGAGCTGGATCGTTTCTAAAAGTGGCGAGACGGTGGTGTTTCGCGAATCTCATGAATGTGGAAAGAAGTCGTCCGCCCTTCCAGACGTCGGGCTCGCACACACGCGGCGACACTGGTAGTGGCTAACGCTTTAGCGTGGTTAGCAGGCTAGCTTTAACCCTCAAGCGCGAAACAACTTCGGGCAGGTTGTTAAGGCGAGCAACGGCCGAGCGTGTCAAACACTCAACGGGGAAGAACAAAACACAGACGCTCTAACTGTCGTAGAAGAAATTCACACCTACTGTAGTACGACGACATATATCCTTGAGTCTTCAGTAACCAAATAGATGGCCATTACTTTTTGTTATGCATCGCCTCCTCCTCGGAGCCTCTACTGGGAAGAGGGATTTCCTCCCCGCCCACATACTCCCACGTAGCCAATCGCGCGTGAGCTCCGCGGATCGGCCCTGATCTCGTTGGCGACACTTCTGCATAGCTGTGCGCCGATTGGTCGGCTTTGATGTCCGTCGCGCAACAATCCAGCCCTTGAAACAGGGGTGTGTCGTGACGTCAGAGGTAACGAAGAGGTAAACAAATTTGACCGCGTGAGCTTAAAGCACCACTGTTTTGCCTCCAATGTGTGTGTGTGTGTGTGTGTGCGTGTGCGTGAAGCACTGTGCAGACCCCCGGTGCGGGGATTACCGCGACACCATTATCAACGATGTTCCGTCTCGACTGGCGGAGATTGTTCAATTTAGGCCATTTCTTTCTCTGCACACATGGAGTCTTTGTTTATGAAACGACGGGTGTTCAGTCTGTGAACTGAACATGGAAACATATTTGTACACTTTGTCCCCGGTCGAATGTTGAAATCGCGCCATCAGAAGATGCACATGCTCACCCTGTTTTGTTTTCATGCGTCTCGCCTTATTGTTTGACATCCTCAGAATGTGTGCGGTCAGGCGTGTGGAGACGAGGGGTGTGTCTACGCTGCAGTGCACTGGTAGGCTGCGAGGCGATGCCGCCGTGGCGAGCAGTGTGTTGCCTTACACTTGCAATGCAAAGCACACCGTGTGCACTGAAAATAGATGACTAAAAAACGCCGATGAATACTATTGATGTTTTGTCGCGCTTTCCTTGAGTAAATATCGAATCCGCTGCGCCTTCGCGCTTCACTTGTTCACATGGCATTTTTACGTCCACCGTCGTATTGCACATTGAAGCATGGTGCACGGTGGTACAAAGCGCGTGTTTGTGTGCGCGTGCGTGTGTGGCGTTTAGTCCAGTGGAGGAGGCCAATGTGAAGGTCAGGGGTGTGTCTGTAATAAAAACACGGTAAAGGGGGACAGATAGGAAGGAGAGAGGGAAAGAGGGAGAAGGGCCCCATCCGGCTTCTTATATCCTCTTCCAACCAAAAATTGTTTTTGGACTCCTGCTGTAGGCCTAGTCAAAACTGCATCTGCAAATTCCATGAGTTTAAAAGCTTCATCCACACATTTCCCTGTTCCACATACATTTGTCCAATTACAAATAGCTTACTGAAAAGTCGTTTGTAAATGTTGTAACACAGTGGTGTGCAACTGGTGGCCCGCGACCACACCCTGAGCGGTCTTTTGATTAAAAAAATTAAAACATAAAAAAAAGACTCTCTCTCTCTCTCTCTCTCTCTCTCTCTCTCTCTCTCTATAATAATATTGTGCAGATTTGGAATGATGTGCAGGACAAAAACATAGTGCACCTCAATATTATTAACATTTTGAATTGGTTTATTTTTGTGAAAAAATTCTTGCACTTATTGTTGTTTTCTTGTTCAGCTGTTTTGTGCTGTCTTTGAATAGTAATTTTTATGAGAGAGAGCCTTTTGCACTGGGAAAAAATTACAGTCTGTGATCATTTTGTTGTTCGCTTCAAAGCCTTTGTTGTTGGGTTAGGATAATGGATCATTTGTACATGCATTGAAAATGTATTAGCAAAACTGACATATATAATGAGCAGGTATTTTGCACATATGTATGTATTTTACCCATATTTAAGATAGCATTTTTGTCACACATTTGGTGAGGAAATGTGTAGTAGCACTGAAAAAAAATTGGGCCCACTTCCAGAATTTAAATTGCCCTTCCCTGTTGTGTCATTACTGCATAAAATCAAGTGGGGAATTCTCCCTGGAAACAATAATTCATTTGTTCCAGGTCCGAACAGTCTCCATCAGAAGACTGTCATGGAATTTACAGTGAGAAAAAAAATCTCATTTTAACATCTGTAAATGTTCTAAATAAATTAAACTAAGAATAAAGTTACAAAACATGTATTTTTAGAGAGCAGTTTAAAAATAGCCTACTGGCTTAGACGCCCGAGGGAAACGTGCTGCGGAGAGAACAGTCTAGCTCTTTTACAGCATTTCATAAGTATTGTCTGGATAAATAAAACAACTCAATCAGTTGTATCACACACATTTGGTGCTGAACAGTAAGGAGTCACATGCTTCTCTCAAATCTGTTTCATTTTAGAGAAAAAAAAATGCAACAAATTATCTTATCTGTGATGGGATCATTAAAAAAAAAGGAAAAAGCTAAAGAGGCTTCTCTCAAATCTGTTTCATTTTAGAGAAAAAAATTGCAACAAATTATCTTATCTGTGATGGGATCATAAAGAAAGAAAAAAGCTAAAGAAAAAGTAAAACACTTATGGACTTATTAAAACAAATGCTGATGGTTTGAAGTCTGAATTTTGATCCATTTGAACTCCAAATCGAACGGCTTTTGGGGCACTCGGTTCGACATGCGTATCGATATCCACATTTATGCTCTGTCTCAAGCGCATAATGATATTGTGGAGGCGCTGTGGCAGGCTGCCGATTCACACAGTGGCTGGTAGTAAAGTGTGTGGGTGTTAGGTTTATGCTCATCATTTGTCCTGTGGCTTGGGTCTCGTCCAAGTCTGGCACCGGGTCCAGATTCAAGCGTCTCCGCTTACAGGGATTTATTCAGCTGTGTTGCATCCATGTCCGACTTGGATTTTGCCTGGGCCAAGTTGTGTCCTCAGATGCTCCGACTCTCACATCGAGCTGGGCCGGGTAGCTGTCTGGAAAGCATGAGGGTGGAAATCATAAATCAGAAACACTTGACCCACTTAAACTGAGAGAATTTGTATTCGTGGCATTTGCGCAGTGACATGAATAGCTTGCACAGTCGAGCTCATATAGAGACACATGCTTTTGGTCAGCCAGCGTTAAGCCAGCCAGAGTTGACTGTGTGCTCGTCAACGGCGCAGGCGGACTACTACAAAGAACACCAACAGTAAACTCTGTAGTTTACGTGCTTTATTTGTATGCGTATGAATATGAACACCGTATTATTGTTTCAGACAGATTGATGGTCTTGTGAATTGCAAGTCTCAATGTGTGGCATGTGAAATGGTACAGAGCTGTAGGTGTGAGAGTGAAGAGGGATACGTTAACACACAACACACAGATGCTCCACCCGCACTCAAAATATACACGATAATCTATCTTTGTACACAAAAACATTGCAATGGAAATTCACTGCAATGAGAATCGACTGACCCTGAATGAGGGCAACGCCAACTGCAAAGAAGTGAGAGGATCACGACACTTACACATGGTCAGGTTGACTTCATTATTTTAAGTAAAATATGCCGTGGATTTGTAAGTCTAGAACCAACGGAGCCCGCATCAAAGTTTTATTGTACAGTATTTATCAGCGTAGGAATTTAGTTTCTGCATTGTCTTAAACAATTTGTAAACTTGTCTAACTAGGAAAAGTTTTCGGTTCTGGCTTCGACCATCACATATCCGCCGTGGTGTTATGTGACATTATGCAACTGAATGTATTTATGTAGAACTATCGTGCTGCTCAAAAATATAAAAAATAGTATGAGAACCTCTTCAATGAATCATTCATTTTCCCTAAATTTTAAAATAAATCTACAAAAATAATATACATGCAAACATTTTGAATTGAATATGCTATATGCAAAAATAATTCCAATAAAGAGTATGTTTAGGCTAAACTGCATCTTTATATTTTGCCACTGTCGCAGTTACACTTGGATGTTTTAATTAAGAAGACTGTTTCAACTTTTGTGTTCTAAAGATATTGTTTAAGGCTGTTCCTGGAGTTGGAAACTTAAATCTACATGTACACAACAGGACTTGCTAAATTAGTTGTTACACAATCGTGGTGTAATGCAAAGAGAGATGCTGACTGGAATTTATTCAAACACAGGCCAAGAAACTCTATACTTCACACTGGAGTTCAAATGTTTACCCCCAGAGGCCGGAGCACAGCTGCAAGTGGGCTGAGCAGCCCCTTATGGAAGCCCCTCTGGTTCCCTCCTGTGGGAGAAACAAGGAGACCGTTAATTACCTCTTTGGCTGGACGAGATGATCAATTTTGGATGACAGTGCAATTTAGTTTTAAAACCTAATTTGAAACCCTAACCCTAATTTAAAATCCAACTTTGAAGCTCTAACCCAAGTTTGAAACCCCAACCTGGGCAGAACCTTTCCTCTGTAAATGCCCATTGATTACAGTCGGATGCCTCTTCCACATGCCAATTCATCTACCATCGCAGACGGACATGCAGTCTGTGGGGTGGGTGCTATGGACCCCCCCCCCTCCCTTAAAGGGTGGGTGCCTGGGGCTCCACCCTCTGTACGCCCCTGCTGTATGTACAACAGTGTGTCATGACTTAAGTACCTGTATTTGCACAAAACATCCTCTTTGCAGCAATGGAAGGTAGAAATCAGATAATAAGTGCATTGCATGACGACTCGCATACTTTATATTCACCTTGTCATCGGATCACATACGGGGTACTTGACAGGAGTAAGGACCATTATGCCCTTTCTCTATTGAGGGAAATTGTTTTTGAACATGTTGTAACAAGCCGAGATGCTGTTTGAACGCAGCATGATCCTTCTTGCGCAGATCCATCACACAGACGAAATGAGACGCATGGTACTAGTAACCAGACGTGTGGTTGTGTGAATAGCACGTTGATCAAGCCAAGCATGGATTAACTACCTGGCTGCTGTTTTTATTTTAAATCGTAAAATCGACAAGTTTGGATGTCATGACCAACAAGGTAATAAGACTACAAATTCTACCATGGTACATTTAGCCTTTCGGTTCATTTCACTTTCGACGTCGCGACGCCCTCTTACCAGCGGCTAACTTGCATGTTAACACGTCACGCTGACGACAGCTTGATGGAGTTGCGTAAAAAATACTCGATTTTGGGAAACATGGATTGTTCATACGTCCAGTGGACCACTGAACCAATTCTGCATCTGGAGTTGTATTGACATATTGTTAAATACCGTAAGAAAATGAGTGAGAACCACTCAGGTCCCGTGGTGTAATGGTTAGCACTCTGGACTTTGAATCCAGCGATCCGAGTTCAAATCTCGGCGGGACCTCGTCCTTTTATGTCGTGTGTGTGTAATTTGTTACTGAAGATTATAAACTATATTTTCGGATTCAAACATTTTTTAATAGTGCTTGTCTTCATTAGGGTCGTGGGGGAGCTGACGCCTGTCCCTGTTTGCAGATCTCAAATACCATATTTTAGATTTTTCATGTAATAATCAGGCATACACATTGGGTGTGTTTTTTAGCACTTTATTTCACACATAAAATATATTACTTCTTTTCCAGACGAACGTTATGAAAATCACATTTGTGCTGGTTATACTGTTTGTAAAAAAAAAACAAGTGAGAAAAATAATAATAATAAAAACATCAAACTTGAAATATATTTTTACAATTGATGTCTTTGGTTTGGTTGCGTTTATTGTCTGTTACCAAGGATATTGGTTGGTTTGTCAAAATAGAAACAAATCAAAGAGGTCAAGACCAAATATGTGGTCATTCTGAGGCATGGAGAAAGTGAGCTAACGTCTCTGTTGAAAATGACCTTACCAGTGTGACATGTTTCCCCAAATGTGAAACATTCCAGCTTTAAGGCATTATTTTGTTATTTCCTGTCACAAAAAAAGTTAATATCAATATTCTGTCTTTGAGTTGGTTGATTCGTTTATGGCTGTGTTACTTGAGCTTGTTTTTTTTTTCTGCCTTTGAGTATTAGCTCAGTGCATTCCATATCCTTTCATCTTAAATACAATTAGATGTCGGTGTTTCTTTAGTGAAGCAGAAGAAAATACTGCCCGTCACAAGTACTCTGTTTGTAACTGCTGGGCTAAATTTATCCGTCTCAAATTGGAACTGTCCCTCACTTTCGGTTTGATTTTTCAACAAAACCTCTTAATCTGAAAACTTATATGTATTACTTATACAAAGCACACTACCCACGTTCTTAAACATTCTGCATGTAATTCTGCACATCGGTGAAGTCGAAACCGACATTTGATTAAATTTGAAATCTCATGCAACCTGTTACCTGATAACATGATAAGATGTCCACTGTAGTAACCGCTATCCCTGAAGGGGTTAAAATGCAAATGGGGATTTTTTTTTTTAATGCTCACATTTTAACATCAAATTATTTGCAACAGAAAAAAAATAATTCCTTTTCTATCCAGCAAACTAATTGACACATAGTGGAACATACATCCACGGTTGATCAACAATCAATTCCAAACAATCAGAAGAATTACAGATCCTCTTTGGTAATCCAATGTCAAAATGCCTGCTGCAAAAACAAATCAACAATCAAAACAACAAAGTTAGTGGCGGCCTAAGTCTTCTGCACGGTACATTGACTTCATGTTTCATCTGCGTAGCTGCGGGCCCAGCATAACCTTATTGATAAAGTTGACAATGGCCACAGCAGGTTGCTCTGGATCTAGCTCTGCGAAAAGGTGGCACACGTTCTCTGTGGCGCTGCCCGTCCGCCTGGCCACAAAACCAAACATCCTGGCGCAAAAATGATAGAAACGGTCAGAAACTCCGAAGAGGAGCCATTTTTTACAGCATGAGCAACATAATGCAATCCGTGTTAATTGCCGTGCAAAGTTGCCAGTATGACTTGCGAAAACAGGAACTCAAGCACTTACTTGCTGGACGTGCTATCACTGTTAGTCCATCTGAAGCACGGCACACAAATAGAAACAGAAGACAATTGCAGGAATACATAAATCAGCAGCTCAGACTGATGATCGAGACTCAAGACTTGCAAATAATTGCATTACACACACACACACACACACAAAAAAAGTGGTAAGCACTGATGTTTCGTCCTTTATTAGTGACAACTGCCTAAAAGTTTGGAAGCACACACACATCCACACACTAGTTTTTTTATTCTTTCTTATTCCCGGGGTGTTAGGTCTCACCTCTGGTCTTGGGGGTCAAGACTACTGAAAGTCACACTGCTGATGGGGTAGTGTCTCCGGAAAAATAACCTGAGCAAACACGACCGGCATCAGAAAATGTAGTCAAGTTTGAAGTGTGTTGTCATCAACGTACAACCGATTGTAATTATGTAACCGAGATACCTTCTTTTGCTGTCCGTTAGGGTGATGCCCTGAGAGGAAACTTTAAAATGGACCACTGTTGCAGCAGGGCGTGGACTCAGAGCTAGTGTACTTTTGCTTGCTTTGGAAACTGCCTCCGGCCCAGTTAATGATTCCGTGTCCACGGAGTTCAGGTAAAGAACGTTGCAGGCTTTGGAGAGAGCACAGTCATGGATTCAAGGCGGTGTGCAGCATCGTGAGACTATATTGCCCTCTGCTGGGCAAAAGTAAGAACTGCTAAAAAAAATCCTGCCGCGCAACTTTCCAAAAGCATCCGTCCATTTTCTATCCTTGTCCATTGCGCACCTCAAAGTAAAACACACGCGAGAATCCCCTTCCCAAATTTTGATTGCTCTTTTTTATGCTAGACTGAACTAAACTTTTTTTCTTGATGAAAGTGTCACTTTAGGTCAGCAAAATTACTTCAACACAAGTGTTACCTGCTCCCTGTTTGAGGAGGTCAGCCGCTGTGCTTGTGTTTGTTACACTGCGTAGCTCCTGAAGATCTCCAACCAGATCTAAAACATTGTATACTCGTGTTACATAGTATCGCCTCATAAATGATTTTTTTTTTCATTTTACACGGGAAAATAGTGGACAGTAGAACCTCCAAAGTCCAACCAAAAAACCCCAAAGTGGTACAATGGGTTGAATCAGAACTTCACAACTCCGCCGGTGATAGCGATGATGAAAAAGGTCATGATAACCACAGAACTGGACATGGATCTTATTCAACATAATAAAGCAATGCAATTTATTAAACAACAAACAATGATCCAAATTAATTGTGCGATACAGGTTAATAGCGTGTAGCTCAGAGTACAACCAAATTGCAAACAAACACTGTTCATCTCAGATGGAGGTGAGTGCTCATCCGAGGTAAGTGGTTTTACTTTATTTCAGCTCCTTTTGCACTTGTATGAGTTATAGATGTTAAAATGCTATTAAAACAATACCTTTATGGTTAATAAAATATTTGATGGCGAAAGTGTGAGCAATGTATTCACTTCACAATCCCTTCAATTCACTTCACAAAAGAAGAAAGAACATCGATATTAGAATAACTTGGTTGTCAACGAGTGGAGGAGATTGTCTTCAGCTTTGAAGGTCTATCACGTGAACTATGTATATTTTACCTCTTTCTGGGATGCGAAGGGCACACGGCAAAGAGATGGGTGTGATTGAATGTTGGTACACCAGGGCTGATAAACTCCCTAAAGCAGGGTTAAGTCAAAAAAAAAAAAAAAACAAACATGTACAGGTCAAAAACATGACAATAAATACTGAATAGCACACAAAATGGAGATCGTATAGAGAAAATGAACTGACCAAAATACGCCTCATTCTGACAGCCCTTGATTTTGACACCCCGCGGTCCTGTCTCAATGAGGAAATGTCGCACAAGCTGTTCCACGGCATCTGCTGTGAGATGATGAATTGTGTGCGGGAGGTGAGTATGAAACTGTCTTTTGTCTACAGACTACAAAAAAAGAACACCCAAAATAAAAGAACCTGTGACGATACCTTTTGTACCAGTGATGTTGGCATTCGGAGGAGGTGTGGCCACTTTGAGGGCCAGCCCGTATGCACCTTGGAACGAATTACTGTCTCGAATGAGGAAAGTTCCTGGTTCCTTGTCTTTTAACACGGCTATGGCTGTGCAGGAGAATAAACACAGGAATGAGGCATACACGGAAACATACACCAGCGCTTAGGGTCGAACTCACCTTGGTCTCTGGAGATGCTTGGTTTGTACCAGTACTTTGAGCTATCTTGGACAAACTTTGCGTTGACCCTGATGTCCTCCCTACTGCTGCTGAACTGCGCGTAGCCCTGCCGCTGCTCTGTCATAGTTGCGGGCAAAGTCACATTGTGTGTCGGTGAAGGCACCGGAGAGCCTCGTAAATGTGAAACGTGCCCGTTTAAGGATCCCGGCGTTGATGAGAGTCGTTTTTTTTCTGGGAGTGGTGGCTGAGAGGCCGGGATTGTGATCGCAGTGTAGCCAGTGTAAGGGACATGGGGGACATTTAGCAAAGGGTAGTAATAGGGTGCGAGGGGGAAAGTCGGCGTGTGGTAACCATCCGGCACGGGTGACGGTGGCTTGGTGTCAGTTGAGCCGGCTCTCTCAGGCGTTAGTCGATGCTCTGGTGGATCTGTAGCGGACGGGGAGCTGTGACCGGGGGATTCGGTTGGAGAATTTTGCAAAGAGTTGCTGGAAGGGCTTGGAGTGGCCGCTTGTGTTGTGCCGCTGCCGGACGGGCCGTCACCAGGCGCATTTGAGCTATTGATTTGGTCATCCACCGGTGTGATGATGATAGTGGCATTATGAGAGTGACCAGCAGCCTCGTCATTTTCTTTGACGTTGACTTCCTGGAGTTTCTTTCCATCAGATGTACGACTCTGAGAAAGTTCACTTGAAAGCGGTCTGATGTTGGAACTTTGGGATTGTTCCGTCTCTGCTATTGGAGGCGTTTTAGTGCCATTTGTGTTGATTTCCAGTGCTATTGAGGCTTCTTGACTTAAGCTGCAAGTATGAAAAAAGGTCAAAGTGCTGCATCCAGCGTAAATGGCTTCGATGGTCATCGTATATCCTGCCTGACATCCTCTAAATGTCTACAATAAACTCGAGGTGCGATGAAAGTGAGTTGCTATTGCTAACAGAGCATAACATGTTTTTCTTAGCTGGAAAAGTTTCTTATCACCAACAAGTTTTGGCAGAGTTTAATTGTGAAAAGAGAGGCAAAACATTAAATGACTTCCAGAGTATAAATTGTGCTCCATTGTCAAAACGTGGCCATTATATACCCAGGAAAGCAGTTTATTTCCAAATTTAGCTTGGAAAAGCTATATGTACAGTATAAAAATACACCTGTATCATAAACATAGAATTTGATAGCAAAGAACCTCAATTTGCCAAGAAAATATGCATCAGCTTTTCAATGAGTGAAATATGTTCAATGGTAAATGTGCTTTTTTTGCTTTCAAAGTACCCACAACGTACAGGTTGGGAGGTCATTACTGACCCACCCCAGGCATGCTGCCCCCAGCATTTTAATCTGAACAAAGGTGACCGTCTAAAACTGCCAGAAAGGGCTCACTATCACAATCAGAGCTCCTGTGTCGATGCCGATTTCCAATCATCCGTTCAGCCAAGGTTTACCTACCTGTCTTCTGTGTGGGTGGGGCTGCTGCCGCCAATGACTGTATAATCGCCCGCTGCCGCCAATGACTGTATAATCATGATCAGAGTCCAGAGTCTGAGCGCTTGATCTGTCGGGTCTACCCTCTGAACCCTGCGATATGTCAACCTCTGCACTAGGTCTGGCCTTCTTCTGTGTGGGTGGGGCTGCTGCCGCCAATGACTGTATAATCATGATCAGAGTCCAGAGTCTGAGCGCTTGATCTGTCAGGTCTACCCTCTGAACCCTGCGATATGTCAATCTCTGCACGAGGTCTGGCCTTTTCCGCTTTTAAAGAGTAAGAAACAAAAAAAAAAAAAATCAGACAAAGGAAGGATGCAAAATATATTATTCTTACTTAGTCCTATTCCTCTTTACCTTTGAGAGGCTCCTGCTGCTGATCCTTGTCTCCCGCAGGGGTCTCTGGAAGTCTTCCTCCCCCAAGCGAGGGGCTACTGGCAGGCAAAGGAGAAGCTGACCCAGATAGGTAACCCGAAGCATAACCCCGACTCCCATGGCTCTCAACGGGAGACGACTGATAAGGAGAGCAGGGGCAAGATTGACGTGGAGGCGGAGGCGTGTGGTATCCACTGCTGGCTCCATCCCGCATGTCCATCAGAGGCTGGGGGCTGGGATAACTCTGCTGTGGTCCAAGGATAAACCTTTGCTGCTCTGCACCCTGCTTTAAAGCGGCAGAGTGACAGATGTGATAAGGAGGGACGGCTGATTTACATTGCCAGAAGTCAGCTTCCCTCGGCACTTCCCACGGGTTTTTGTTTTCCCACAATGCCTCTCGAGTTTGTTGTAATCCCACTGCTTGGTCTGGATGCATGGAATGGAGCACTCTGACTGAGGCTGCCTGGTGCTCCCGCCTGCTGGAACACTCCCGGCAAGGGCAGCCAGGGGACTGATTGGGCGGAGCAAAGAATATCTCTCGGTACGGGCTTGAAAGTAGGGACTGGTGGGAAAGGTGAGAGCTCGGGGCTTGGCTGGCATAATGGAAGACTTGGCACTCGTCATTGTAGTGTCTGTTCGAAGCCGGAAGTGTGTGGCCGTGTGAATGTGGATATTCTGAAGCGGAATAAGGGAAGCAGGGTCTGTGGAGACAAGGTACAGATGGGGTTGGCTGTTCCCAGGCTAACTCTGGCAAAGGATGGACGCTATGGCGATGACAAAGTTCCATATGAGTCAAATGAGGCGGCGGGGACACAGACTTGGATGGTAAGGCTGGCAGAGTTTGACTTTTGGGATGTTTTCTGAGACTGTTGCAGCACCCAGCGCAGTGACCATCAGCTAGGCAGGGCTCTTGCTCCCATTGCCGCCCTACGCCTCCACACGTGGCACCCGCTCGACCGCCACACTCTCGCGCTAAACCTCCGGGATTTGACAGTTTTGCATCATCTAAAATCTCGGTCTCTCTGTCCTTTTCCTTCCCCCGTACGTTCTCTTTTGTCTCGGTTTGTCCTTTATCCGTCAGACTTTCAGGCTTCTCGTTTCCAGGATGAGCGGTGAAGGATGAGCGGTTCTCGATGTGATCAGAGGGGACACAGCTGGAAGTGCCGGTGAGAATCTGCGACTGTTTGGCAATCTGCGTCGTCACCGTTGGACTGCTGGCGAGGCAACCGTTGGGTGAGGAAGTTGGGCCCGGTCCTCGTCGTTTTCTCACCTGTGCGTACAGACTACCATCCAAAGGGCCCCTTGTATGAGAAATATCTAGTGGAAACAGGAAGTTAGGATTCATGAGCCACCCGAATAAATGACTTCAGGCTTAAACTGGGCTACGCTTTACACTAGTAACTAGAAATGCCTGGTGTCTGCAGACCTGTCTAAGTGGTGGCCATTTTGGCAGGGAGCGATGTTCCGTTCAAACGGAGTACCCCAAACCTATTTCATGATCAACATATCGATTTAATTTGGGCGGAGCGGCACCCCAGCGCCATCTATTGACCAGCTGCCGCCGCGTACTAGCACAGCGCTACAAACTGACTATCGAAGCTTGGTGATGCCATGGAACAACAACCTATCCAATGTTTCTCAGTGAGATGCAAATGAGTCCAATGAACAACACGGGATACAACTATCTTACTCTCTGGGCTGTCTTGATGGTGCACGTTCAAGTTCTCGTAAGAGTCCCATCGGACCACTGGATCTGACGCGTTGTAGTTCACTTTGACGGAGGGTTCTGTCTTCTGGTTTTCTTGAAAGCGTACATGAAATTGTACTGAGTACAAGACAAAATACATCAATGATGTTCAAGATTTCGGAAACTGGAAATATTCACCGTTTATTTTTTCCGGCCTGGTAGAAAAGATAAACTCCACTGCAGCATCGCTGGGGAACCTGTCATCTATAAAAAGATGCACATATTAAACAATGTCTAAAATATCACTCCGTCTACAGAAATGAAAAAAGCACTCACAGAAATTATGTGAACTGTTTCTGAAATAGCACAAGCCTCAATCTAAATGACTGAAAAGTTCACAGGGAAACAACACATCAAAGGTATTGTTCATCGCTTTCACCGAAAAGTAGGATCATTCCGACATGATTACTACATTGCTCATAAGTCATTTTCACTCTTTCTTCTCTTTTGCAAAACGCGGCCATTGATTCGATTTAGCGTCAATGGCATACTACACAATGGGGACGCCATTATTCTACCTGTGCAGGCTACGTCAAGATCCTTCTTCCCAAACCACAGCTGGGCGCCATGAATGGTGCACGTGTGGAACTGGATCCTGAATACCACCTCTCTCTCTGCTGCCTGGCTCCGTCGATGATAGCACTTGACCTGAGAGGATTGAAAAGATTCATACATGAAATTGTTTAAACCTATTTGTACGACATAGTCAAAATTGATTGGACAAACAGATGCAGTTTGTCACCATGATGTCCCCCTTCAATAATAATGCCGGCTCCATCGTCACACACAGCTTCCGGGACCTGGAGGTCTGCGGGTTGCTGGAAAGACCCCCAAAGTGCAAATCAGAGCTTGATTACAACCATACAAGAGAGCAGTCAAAACACAAGTCTGCTGAGTAAATCAAATGTAAACAAGGTGAACTTGAACATAAGCAGTGGGGCAGCCACCATCTAAACATAGACGGTGGCCAGTAAAGGGAACTTCTGTCCGGTGTAAAGTAAATGGAGAACATGGTGGAACAACTAGATTAGTGACTACTCACGAGACACAGGAGGTGTAGATCAGCTGTAGTGATTGGTAGATCTTCAGAAATGGAAAGTAACCTGCAAAAAATAAAAATAAAAAAATGCACAAACAGTTGCTTTGTTTTTACTTCAACTATTCACAAAGTTGAACACCAAGGTATTGAACTACTTTTGTTGACATAAAACTGACCTCCTCCCGTCTGAAAATTTGGCAGTGATGGAATATGAATCTGATGGAGGAACAAGGGACTGCTATTCATTTTAATGGCACCGGACAGCAGACCACCAAAGTAGTAGATGTACCTGAAGATGGCAAGTGAGGATCAGTCAATGATGGAAACAGAAGAACAATGAAGACATTCTCTATTAGGTCGGATTTGTGTATACTTTCAGACTGGTTCATCGGCACAATCGATCCAATACAAGAAATGTATCGAAGAGATTTTAGTGTCCGCAAGACTTCTTTCAAGCTGTAATTGACCATGTCTACCACGAGGTTGCGCTGCCGTTCACCAATCGTGCTTGTCGTCACTTGTGAATTCAACCGTCAAGTGTACCTAATGTTGTGGCTTGTGAGTGCAAACCTCAACACAAACGTCTTAGGGCACGACACTTGTGCTTGTGTGTGTGTGTGTGTGTGTGTGTGTGTGTGTGTGTGTGACCTGTTCTGAGAGGGCTGAAGGGAAGAAGAAACTTTGTCTTCGCAAAACTTCCGCATGGCCAGTGTGGTGAGCGCCTGTTCCGCTCTGTGGACACACGACCACAATTTAATATAGAATTGTGAATGACACTGCTATGAATGGAACAACATAGTTAAAATTTATGATGCCGATTATTCGTCAAAAGATACTGCTGAAATTCTATAAAGTCTAAATTATAAGAAGCTGTTCAAGGATAATTATGACTTTAAAAACATGTTGCTTAAGGGACACATAACGGTCACATACCGGCTACCAATGTATAGCAGTGTCTGTATACAAACATTTTTTTTTCATGTGATATTTCCCCTTTTTAACAAATGTTTCCGTTGTACTGTATGTCCAGAATTATGAGAGGCACGTTCCACAGGGAGGAAACTTCATTTTTTAACATTTAACAAAAGAATTACCCTGCTGATATCTTGCTATAGTGCATGTAGGCTGCCACAATGACACCCGTCTTCCCTTTGTTTCCCTGTCAGGGCAAACGACAATATAAATCTGAGAAGGTCTGAAGTGATTCACGGTGTGCCACGTTCAGGTTGCCCAGACCTTACAGTGGAGAACCGCTACGTTATTGGGATCAGCGCTCAGCCACGTTTCCATGGCCTTACACACGGTACAGATCCTGTCCAAAGGTGGAGCGTGGAGATCAGGCCAACCGAAGTCCTGCACCTGTAGCGCAGGAGGAGCTGGGCATTAAATATTACGTGGCTTTGGAATGACGTACACTTTCAAATTGTACCTTTGGGATGAGTCTTGTGATGTCATGTCTCTTTTCTGATAAATTCAAAAGCTAGAGGGGAAAACACAGTGACTTAGATATTCATATTTCCAACAATGCCAAATGTTTTGGAACAAGGTGGACATTATTCTGTTTGCGTTGATCAACCGCGTAATTTTCTTTGTCAAGGTTGTTGCAGACGTCTTGGGTGTTATTATATGATGCAGGTGATTTATATGAGTTACCGGCATGAGGTGTTTGTAAATGCATCAGTTAAACAAGTGTAGGTATTTTTTTTTTGGGGGGGGGGGGTCGTGACCAACCAGAAACTTGTCCTGGTGCTTGGATTTAAGCATTGTCGCCATTTCCTGCAGCTCGGTGTGGTATCGCTGTTCCTCAAGCTCTGGCATGAAGAAGACCGAGATGATCCTCTCCGTGATATAAGTGAGGTCAATGTCGTAGTGGCGCTCCATCACCTGCTCCATGACTTGCTCCTCACTTTTACTTCTAGACATTGAAACCATTTAAAACGGAAATGCTGTGTCTTTATTTCAGGGAAAAAAAGGATGCTTTCCATGTATCATCCGTGGCTACGATACCTCGGCATGGAGCTTCTTTTCTTCAGTGATGTAGATTTCATGGAATCGTGCTGAAAACCATACAGAAATGTGGCTTGGTGAGGGTAATACAAACATCTCAATACGAATGCATGTCCAAGCATACCTGCTCTGGTGTTGAGGCACAGGTGGTAGACACCTGGAAGAATAAGCATGAGGTTAGCAATGGTGAAAAAAAAAAAACATTCACATATGCAAATAAACATATCTGAAAGAATGAAGAAACGCTGCGTTGCATTAATGATCCTGCCTCTAAATACTCATCAAAATGCCCCTCACATTTAATTACTGTAACCTCACCCTATGGCATTCTGTGCTTGCAATCACATCATCTCAACCAAGTAAGATCCCGCGTTCTTAAGCACCCCCAGCAGTGAGCCACGGACAAAAAAAAACCATTCAGGCTTTTGACTTCCACTGCAAACCTTGATAGGCAGCACCTTGTCAACTTTTCACCTTTGAACCCTTCAACATGAGTGGCATCCAAGCGGCCCTCTCAGACGAAGAGCCGGCCAGTCGCTGACAGGTGTCAGCAACAAGTTCATAAGTCTCATGCCTGCACAAGTGAATGCTTCCTCTGACAAGTAACATTGCACAAGTTGAGGATATTGTTTAGTGTACATCACAACAATTCGGGCAAGTAGCTGCCTATTGCACTGCGTGAAATCTGATTTTCCAGAACGGAGGCCTTCAATCCTTAATGACTCAAATGTCTTCGAATGCTCCCAGCACAACAATATTGCTATATTTTTTAAAAATCAGACAGCAATTACATTTAGCAATGTAAATAAACATTATTGCTGGAAAATATACAAAGTAGTATAGCAGATTGCTCCACACTCACATTTAGTGAACGACAAGTCGTTGATCACAGCGATGCTAAAAATATCTTAACTTTTTATCTGGTTCCAGTTAAAGATAGTCTTGTATAAATGGACCCTCATTAGAAATCCTCATTTTTGCATTCCTGTGTTCCACTTTACCAACACGACCATTAAGGTCTCAACTAAAAGGTAGACAGGTTGGCAGGAAAGGTATGAAGTAACTTAACTGCACTGTAGACGAGGAAACCATGAGATGCTATAGTTCATTTCACATTTCAAAACAAAATGCAGTCCCCGTCTGGTATTTTTTTTTCACACTTCACCACAGCTCCCGATTAAGTCTTTCTTTCAAGCACATACACACGCAGATGGGAAATATGGGCAAAAGAGACACAGTGGGACATAAGAGGGCATGTAAACGTGACCGTCGGGGCAGAACACCTCTCCTTTGATCGGTTTAATAACGGTGGTTAAGAGGTTGGAGTGCGCTCGGCTTCAGGAAGCAACAGTAGGAGACAGACAACATCCACGTGCATGACCGTGCATCAAAAACACATGCGCGTAGAGGGTCTTGACATATAAAGGCAACAGAGCGAGAGACACTCGAGTCAACAGGAAACAATTTGCAACAGGATGTCAATGCTGGTCAAGAGAGGTTGAGCCATGCACATGCATGTGTTTTTGGTAGCACTGCTGCAAGCTCTTGGTGAACGCGTGTGGAGTGTGTGCAGGAGCCACCGGGCGGGGGGGGCCTGCCTGTCTGTGCCTGCTGTACAGGAGCAGAAGGTCTGCACAGCAAGTGTAGACAGGCAGACACACCACAACAGTCTGGTCAGCGGCTGACCTCATGGGGGAGATGGGCAGGAAGTGAATGTTTTGGGGGGGGGGGGGGGGGGGGGGGGGGGGGGTATGGCATCTGGTTCGGCTTGTCTTGTTCATCAGTGTGCTTTACGGCGGCGCCAATGACAGCATGCCACCACAGCCTCGGGGACTGACAGGGTGCCTACCGGTTGACTGGTGAAAGCTGACATCAGACAGGGGGAGAAGTGACTAAGCCTTCTCATTTGAAAGTGGAACGGCAAAAATTACCAAAGCTGACTCTACATTACACCATCTCACAGTACGTCCACTAAAGATGAACAATAAGATAGGCAGCCTCATCATTTAGGAGAGGCTGAAAGTATGAGGCAGTTGCAATTCTTTTTGAAGTCTGCCTTGGCACCACACGAAGCCTCGCCTCAGGACAGGATGAGCACAAGCATCTGGGCTTTCCCGTCATTAACAACATGGGACAAGAGAGGACACCGTGAAGAGCATCACGAGCAGAAGTGAGTCCAAAGCTTGCACAAAAGGTGAACAATGCAAGCCGAAACGGACTTTGTATTGGGGAGCAAATAGAGAAGCGGGTAGACGGTGAGCGAGTGATGTGGATGGGATGGGATGGGATAGACATGTCAACAGCTGAAAATGCCTTCTGCGCAGAGCACAAAGATGTCAGACAGCTATTTTCATCAAGCTCCTTAATATAGATCACGAGTCCCTCTGGAACACTTAAAGGTTCTTTTTGCATTTGATCATTTAAAATGTCCAAACCCCACCACTGCCGCCAAAATCATACACATACAAACATGCATGTTGCCTGAAGACCAGCCACAACTGATCTTGTGTGTCCCCAGCAGGTGGCAGTGGAGTGCTTTTCCTCCAGCATGCACACCTGCTGCCAATTTGATCATCACGTTTAATCAAGTATTGAGGACTGCCAAGATCCCACGTCTCTGTCGGATTATTGACCTTGTTGCTGCTATTGCTCAAGCGTTGTTGTCTAGATCTCTCGATCTCGTCATTTGTCTTCGATCTGGCTCATGTTTTTATTTTTGTGAATTGGACTTGAGTCATTTTGTTTATATTTCAGAGTTTCTTGTCCCTTGCCTTTGCAAGCGGTTTTTATTCATGTATTATTTTTCTGCTTCTTTTGACCAGCAATTGCAGTTTTATACTTTGTCGGTGCGCTTTTGTATTTAATAAATATTTTTGCACTGACTTTTGTTTGTGTCTACATTTGTGGGATCCGATCGCCATTCAGATTTCCCCGAACTGTGTCAGACCACTTGCCCACCAATGATATTAAGTCGTTTTGCGATATCAAAATAGCAGAAAATTACAACGGTAACCATGCTCAGTTTTGATGAACCCTATTAGAGAGGCATTCATTTAACATCATGTTTATTGCTGCGCTTGTGGTTTGCAGTGATGAACAACTGTTACTGCATCATAACGACAGTTGTCTCATATTTTTGTTTCCTCATTTACAGTAGTTACATGCAGGGAAGTGAAAAATCTTATGAATATACGATTGCAAACTACAGCGACGATAACAAAAACATTGTTTAGCTTATACCTCCCTGATGCAACTCTTTTATTGGATAGCGTTATATCGTACAAGTGATTTGTCGGTATAAAGACCATGGCAATTGATTAAAAAAACAAACAAACTGTGAAGTCCATCTGGAATTATTAATCCTGCCAGCATGGTGACAACTTCAATATTAAACAAAACCAAACAGCACGGTTATTGCTCCGTGATGGATATGAGGAAATGAAAGAGATGCAAACAGGAGGCGCATGCAGCCACGTGTGTCCCATGTCACTTTAGATAAGGCCAAGAAAAGCGTACTGAATTAAACCAAGCCGAGTATTATCGTAGTTTGCCCGGTCGCAACTATAAATAGTTGCTTTGGGAGGCGATATGTCAACATGTTAATCTGGTAACGCAGATGCTCATCAGCCAAATCCATTGCTGACCTAGTGAGGACACCTCATCTCTATATGCTCCTCAGTGATCTGCTTTTATTACCTGTGGAGAGATGGGAAGCCAAGGGCAGTTCATCGATAAAAGCAATACAAGTGTCCAAACTATTGTCTCCAAACAAAGACAATAATACACCAGAGATGTTTTCCAAGATGTAGACATCGTCCTGTCACCATCGTCACAATATCCATTCATCCAATTGCACAACAGCTGTTGTGCAGGAGCAGATTTTGTAACCATGTGTACATCACTATGCAACATTAGCATCCATCACATTGTTGATGGTAGAACAGCTGATTAACAATGGAGGGGTGGGGGGGGGGCGGTTTGTCTCTGCTTGGTACCCTTGGGTCAGATATGATGCATGCAAATAAGGTCAAGTTTACATGGTTTTAAGCTCCAATAGATGGAGTCATTTAAATCATATCCATCCATCTTTGATACAATTTCTCCTTTTCAGTGTCTCCTGGAGCTGTCCCAGTTGATTTCCGGCAAAGAACAAAGTACACCTCAGAAGGGCCGCCGGTCAATTGCAAGTCTAAACAACCATTCACATTCACAGTGGCACTAAGTGGGAACGGAACCCACGAGAGTGAACTGCTACCATCGTACAATCACTTAACTCTAATATTAAAAATTCAAACGTGCATATTTTTTTTTTTTTTGTAGGTCACACCGCGTGTCTATTTTTAAGATGCAGTATACCGTATTTGCAGCAGAAGAAATCCTCTTTTGGAGCAAAGTAAAAACACTCTATCCATTGTTGGAAGACCATCATGGAATGACATGCTGCATGAACAGAACAAGTTGCCCACTCACAACAAGAGACGCCACACAGTAGATTTAAGGACAAAATAGACGTTATAAACTAACCGGAGTGTCCGTGCCGAGTGTTTTGTTTTTTTTTACCTCTCAACAAGCAGCTTCAGTCCTTGCCTCCCTCTCTGAGCAGTCCAGTCTGTACATTGGCATACACAGCCTCCCTCCATCCCTCTCTCGGTCACACACACAAACCCATTGCTCACTCTCTCTCGCTCTGTCTCATATGACAACACGCATGCACCCTCGTCCACAGTGCCAGCAGCACTCACCACATAGCTTTTTTTTTTTTTTTTTCCCTTTTCCCCCTCCCGGCCTGTTTGTGGCGCAGGCCACACACACCCACACGGTAAAACATGCCTTCCCTGTGGAAGGACTTGCTCTTGCTTTTGCACTCATCACACACATCAATGCACCACATGCACACAGTGGGCAGAGTGAGTATGCCCAATGACCTCAGGATTAAAATGTCTGCAAGAGACAGAGGACAAAATGCACAAGTATAACTTGAATAAAAAAAATAAATAAATACAAATTTTAAAAAGGGAGGATGAGACAAAATCCCAATTCCGGACCAAAAAATGCACACACAACACTTTGACTGGCAGATTTAAGTTCCCAGAAAGCCATAACACACACACACACACACACACACACACACACACACACACACACGGCCCCGCCAGC